GATGGTACTACAAATATTATACTTTACAAGCAGTTAGGTTACATGATTTAACTTGTCAGAATTTAATGAAAATTTAGTAGAGAATGGCGATGGAAAGAACAAGAGTAAGTGACGAAGAAGAAAAGGAATTAAAGAACGATTCGAAATTTCAAAGTAGGTAGCCAGAAACCAGAGAAAAGGGTGATAAAAAGGTGGAATGACGATGAAAGAGGTCACATCGTCACAAAGTCTACCTCGTAAAGCTTCAAAACTCTGCTACAAATTATATAGGCTCTTATAGTTTACCAAGAATGCAGTAAGGTTTCGAAGTGGTCATTATCACATGATTGTAATTACAACTTGTAAATGCTGCAATTTCGTAGGTGATTTAGGCGATGTGGTTGAGAAATTTGAGTATCTGAATGCATTCTCAACACGAATGTATTTTAGGCATATTTTATACTAGCTGTGCCTGCAATTTCAAGTGCGCAAACAGGTTCCACTTACATATTCTACTAATATATAGGGGAAAGTGTGTTGGTTGGTTATTACATGCATATTTCTCACAGTAATGCTTCCCTATACACATAATGACGTGCAGACATTGGGGATTCACGCCGCTGCAAACAGATTTCTTAACAGGTGACAGGGCCACATAAAGCATATGTTTATGATTATAAGATGATTTTATCTTCATAAAATTTGTTACTAACAATTGTACTTGCTGCCGGAGATTGGGGAATATCAAATCTCTTATTTCCCCAATTCCCCACAAAATACCCAATCAATTTTTTAATTCCCCAGATATTTTAATTAAGTAACCTAAAATCTCCATTTCCTATTCCAAACATAGCCTAAATATCGCCGATGGCTCGAATTAACTTAAATGGCGAAAAATCGCCTAATCTGGCACCACTGGGCTCGAGTTTGAGATGCTGCCTTGGTAATGAGGATAACGATAGATATGAGTCCGAATCGTTGAATCGATCAATAATAACTTAAACTTGCAGAAGTAGAAGAATACAAAATACTGGTGACAAGTCATTACATTTGGGAAAATCTTAACACCGCGATTCAGAAATTGCGTTTTGCTATGCCAATGCCATCTAGCGGTAAACTATTGTTACAAATATGCTAAAGTTATTATGTTACAATCATTGACTTACAATAAGTCAATGGTTACAATACTTAATTTAATAACGGGTGTACAAAAGATCTGGTGCATTCTGAGCAACGAAAACCACATCCAATTGGTTCAGTCGAGAGCAGTATGCAAAAAAACTGATGTTTTAGGTTTAGTAGATGAAATATCTTTACGATTTTATTATGTGTATTGATTTATTTTTGAAGTTTGGGGCAGACTGGAATTAGAAGTTTGTAACATATTTAAAACGAAGAATCTAAAAAATTTTTAAAATCAATTAAAAACTATACAAGAGCCATTCCCACTACATTCATTTTGTATAAGGGTACTTTAATATTATTTAAAATAAATTTATACTAAAGCAGCTTTTTGTTACTGCCTGTATGTGTGTAGGTAGGTGAATTATTATGTATTCAACGAGCGGTATTTAGCTCTGTCAGTGCCTGCCTGCTCAGTGATTCAGAAAATGATCGAATTATGCTAATGCTTGTTTCATTTTGTCGCTTAGCAACATTGAGGGTTGTGTCGTGGGTGTCGGACGAAAGCGCGTGGGCATACATCCCTAGCGACTAAATATTGTATCTATTTTTTCTATAAATGTACAAATTAGTAGAATGCAGAAACGACGCATATTTATATTTTGGTACAACTTGTGATAAAAAGTATTAATCTTAATCGATGGATATGACAATGCGCTTTTCCAAACTTAGATAATTGTAAAAAAAACCACTGTTGGAATTTTTCCGCGAGCTTATTTTTAGAACAATTCAAAATTACTTTTGGAAGATGGAGGTGTCTGTCTACTAACAACCAAATTATTAGACTCTGAATTTATAACCAAATTTGATATAGGTTTGTACATTTTTTTTCGGACAACGATATTGGATTAATTAAATACTAATATACTTCCTTAATAATATGTGCCAGACAACCACACCGACTGTCTCAAATAAGAAAATTCCTTGTGCTATGAGTACCAGAGCAAATGCATTCATTCTGGGGCACTTCCCAGAATATCCAGATCGGAGCCAATTTAGAAAAGTTGATTTCCCAAATTGGTCCTACCGGGAAGCGAACCCGGGACCTCCGCGTCCAGCGCCCTCTATGTAAACCGTTAGGCCACCGAGGTCGTAAATAAGTTTAAAATAAATCGTAAATAAATTCAGGTTGAAATATGGAAGTAACAGAATCGACACCAACATTGAAATGGTTTAAATGTGCTAAAAAGGACGTACAAGATGATGGAACAATCAATTTGATTTTAAGCAAACTGTATAATATCTGAGTGGTGTAGTTGATTACTTACCTGTTTTTAGATATTCAAGTTCGTAAATGCGACTGATCGTGACACATTGCAGCACTATATCGATGCCTTACTTTTTGAGACTCTTATACAGAGTGATTATACAGGACATGGCAAAACTTTCTATTTATTTTAAATTTCTTATTAAGGGTGTCAATTTGGATGCATTACTTCAAGAATAAAGCTAGTATGTAAATATGAAGGAAATGTGATGTGAAATCGGCCTGCAAAGTTTGGATATACAATCCATTTTTTGCATTTCAGTAACTTTGTCCTTTACGATACAAGTTTGAGAAAGTAAGGCGATGATTATACTGAATGTAGAGCCGATTGTTTGAATTGCAAAATTCCCACTTTAACGCTTTCAAATTTATTTAACAGCCAACAAAAAAACTAATTATATACTATTAATTTTTACGGTTTAAAAACATTTTTTTATAATACTAGAATATTAACCCGCTATTCGTGCAGGGATTTAACAAACGAACGAAAGTACGGCCCTGGCAGTGAAAATTAGGTTTTAGGTAATTAACTGATTTCAAAATGTTCCTTTTTCCCCAGGTGCGGCCACTGCAAGCAGCTGGAGCCCATCTATGAAAAGCTGGCCGAGCACTTCGAGAAGGACGATGACATCATCATCGCCAAAATGGACGCAACCGCCAACGAACTCGAGCACACCAAGATCACCTCATTCCCCACTATCAAACTTTACTCTAAGGATAACCAGGTAAATACATAATATACTTTATTATTTGAATAGCTATCGTAGTCTTATTGAAGTTTTGTATTGGAAAATAACGATGATGTGAAGGCGTTAATAAATTACAACCGTGATACCGTAATAAATATTTTTCGAAAATCTTGCTCGCCATAATCATAGGGTAAGAGAAATAATTTGTAACGATGTTGGACAATTCTGAAAGAGCGTGTTGTTTATTTAATTTAATAAAATTTTATTAGTTTCAATACTAGTACTGTTAGTATTAAATTCGTATAAATATTTGTTAAAAAATAAAGGAAATAAATAGTATAGGACCAAGTGCTTAATACAGACGAAAAAAAAAATTCATTTTCCACCTTTGTCTAATCCGCCAAAACCAGCCATGCCCTTGGGCATTCTAGGTTGTTCTAAGCTATTTTTCGCCGGAAGTAGCTGCCAGTCTAAATGAATAATTTTCACATGACAGTACAGTTGTAATATTGATGTCAATTGTTATAGGTGCGCGACTTCAATGGTGAAAGGACGCTGGCCGGCCTCACTAAGTTCATAGAGACCGATGGCGCTGAGGCTGAGCCCACTCCAACAGTCGTAAGTATAACTTTGTAATATAAACGTTTAACCGACAATCTATTTTTTTTATGAACAAGTCGTGGCAACTGGTGGTAAGCAACACGCCTGTCTTGTCAGCTTATATAAAGCCGGATTTACATTTTTCTGACGTGTCGTGTCGTAACGCGTCAAAACGGTATCGATATAATAGTCACAACACAAGCCGTCACATCAGATTGCGACACACTAATATAAATCTGACCATATTAAATATATGAAACCGATACCGACACAACACGTCAGATAAGTAAGTTCGGTTTAATATAACCGTCAGTGAAAGAACGTTTGTTCGACTTATTTTGGTCAAAATAGCGTCATATGTGGTGCAAGTTTGTGAATGCGAATAATTTTCCGAATTGTTTTACTCTTGAAATTACTTTTAATTCTCGAAATTATAGTGATCGAATTTTTTAGAGGTATTGTTTGTTTTATTGATAGGAATGAAATAAAAAAGGTTAAAATGACACTGTATTCGAGGCTAACGATGTGTGTCAGGATCGTAGCAAATGGAAGGCTGTTGCTTCTGCCTACCCCCGTGGGAAAATGACATGCAGTCTATGTTACGAATTAAGAGAAAATTATTCGCAATATCAAACAAAAGTTATTTTCTATTTATATGTTCAATTTCTTATTATAGTTTCTTGTAGTTTAGTGTCGTCTTGGACTAATACCACAAGATCTAGCTAATCTCCATATTACAGAGCATAACTGAAAAAGGTCAAAATTTCGTCTTATATCAGATGGCGCTGATCAATAGCCTGGAAGTATCATATAAATGGCCGTGGATATCAATTAATTTCTCTTTAATATGAAATATAAGAAGTCAATCTTTTTTCCTTGTAATAATATTTAAATATTGACCATAAGCTAAAATCTGTACTTGAGAAGCATTACACTCTAAATGCATTTTTTGTAAAATTACAGGGGACACGATTTTGTGTCGAAATGCAGCACGTACAACATTTAGAATGGCTTGAAATAAAACGAATTGAGTTTTAATAACATTTCGATCTACCCTATTTGTCGTACAAACTGCTTTTCGACATAAAATCGCTTCCCCCGTAAAATTACAAAAATGGCGCTTATCAGATACGGAAATTATTTTCTATGCTTTGACAAATACGCGCGTCATGAAAATAGATGTTACAAACTAATTTATAAATGAACGCTTCCTATGTATATTGAATAGCCGGCACTTTTCCATAAAAATTGTGCAACAAGCGCCATCTACTTGATTGGTTTGTTATCATTGCAAATTACAGTAGCTTTGATAAATTGCAACTTAACAATGTAAAACAAATTAGTTAGAAAAATAGCTATTTGGTACTCGTCGCGACATCTGTTGTACCAATAGGTACTAAATAAC